AGCACTGCACGTTCTCGGTTCTGGTTAATGGTAGCCCCACCGATTTCTTTCCCTCCTCTAGGGGCCTTAGACAGGGTGACACGTGGGCTTCCTCATTCCTTGTCTGATCCTTTGGTTCACCTGGACGGAAAGGAATAGTGCGAAGCATAGGGATATTACTTTTTTGCTTTCTCACATTGTTTTGCAGGTAGAGAGACATCTTTCGCTCCTCACATCCTTGGCAGGCTCACGGCCCGAGACTGAACAGGCCGCACGCCACCACACCGCTACATGATGGCCCCCCTGCGCCTGTTCAGCCCCCTCGGCCCAGAGCTGTTGTTTGGCTTCAACCTGATTCTCCTTGGGTCAAGCTGAACACTGATGGTTCTTTTAATCGCCAGACCGGAGTTGCCTCCGGGACCACAGCGGCGCCCTTATCACCGCCTTCCATACGTCCCTTCAGGTCTCCTCGAGCTACGACGCAGAGATTCAGGCACTACAGATTGGCCTTCAGATTGCTGCCCACCTCTCTAGTCATATTTGGATCGAGCTGGACGCTGCGGCTGTCGTCACCATCCTGACCTCGGGCCACCAGGGCTCGTGGCAGATTCAGCACCCGCTTATGCGCATTAGAGCTCTTCTCCGGTCTGTCCATCATAGGATTACGCATATTTTCTGTGAGGGGAACAGACCTGCTGACTACCTTGCCAGCCTTGGCGCCACCACACCTGACCTTCACACGTTTCAGACCGACACTGCTTCACTCCGCTTTCGCACGATGATACGGATGGACCAACTTGGATATCCATCTTTCCGCTTTTAGTTGATTAGTTTTGTTCTCATTTGATCATACATTTATTCCAGGCACCTGTTAGCCCGATGACAGATCTTGTATTATTTTATTTTCTGTTTTTGTTTCCTTTTTACTGTGAGACCATGCTAACTGTAGATGTTTGATATTTTGGTCCCAGTTTGGGTTCTTGATCTATATAAAGGTTGGGGATCCGACCCAATCTCCCGCCCTTCGAGGCGTTGTTTGTTTAAAAAAAAAACCTAACAGCAAAAGACAACTAACCTAGCAACAAAAGACAACTAACCTAGCAGCAAGAAAGAACTAACATAGCAACAAAAGTCTCCTTCGGGACACCTATCAGGTGCTTCATATCGAGCTTTCTGCTGCTCACCTCCCTGAGCCCATATTCCACACTTTGGTTTATGCCAAGTGTAATCGGGTCGGGAGATATAATCTGTGGGACACCCTGCGTGAGATTGCTGAGAGTATGGAGGGATTGCCATGGATGGTTAGTGGCGATTTTAACATCTTTCTACACCCCGATGAGCGTGTGGGTGGCCGCACGGACCGGTCCCGAGAGAGGTGGGACTTTGCTCAGACTGTAGCGGACTGTGAGTTGATTGATGCTGGATGTGAGGGTGAGCCCTTCACGTGGGTTAGGGACGACCTCAAAGAGAGGCTTGACCGTGCCTTGGTTTCTGAGGCGTGGTCGAAGGTGTTTACGGTCACGGCCGTCACGCACCTCACTCGATTTGGGCCTGACCATTCACCCCTCCTCATTAGGTGTCGATTTTTTAGCACACACCGTCGCGCTTCCTTTAGGTTCCAGAACATGTGGGTTCGCCACCACTCTTTCCATGACACTGTCAAGGACTCCTGGCTTCAGCCGACTGGGCTCTTCGAGATGCGCAATCTTGAGGCGAAGCTCGGCAGACTGCGGCGTAGGTTGAGACAGTGGAACTGGGATGTTTTTGGAAACCTCCATCAGTGCCTTTCTGCGGCTCAGAGTGCGTACGCGGAGGCTGAGCGGGCCTATGACTTGGATCCCACTCCGGAGAATAGGACTGCGATGCACAGTTGCCATGCTGAGTACCAGCTCCGACTCCTTATGGAGTAGGATTTCTGGAAGCAGAAGGCGGCCGTTCGCTGGGTGGCTGAGGGCGAGCAGAACACTAGGTTCTTCCAGGGCTTCGTTAGGCAGAAGCGTGCTAAGTCGTACATCCATAGTATTGAGTCTGAAGGGTCATCCCTGACCCAGGAGTCTCAGATTCGGGAGTTGGCTGTTGCTCACTTCCAGACCCTCTTCACCTCTGATAGAGGGTCCCTCGTTGCCCCGACCGTCTCTTTCTTCCCTACCATCCCTCCTTCGGTCGATATTGTCGGCCTTTGCGAGCTCTCGAGTAGGGAGAAGGTTAGGGATGTTGTTTTCGGGATTGATCCCAACAGCATTTCTGGCCCCGATGGATTCTCTTCTCTCTTCTTTCAGGTCTGCTGGGATATAGTCGAGCCTGACGTTGAGGAGGCAGTGTTGGATTTTTTCTCCGGTCACCGAATGTCGGATTCCTTCATGGCTACCTCTGTTGTCTTGGTCCGACTACAGGCCCATAAGCCTATATAACGTGACCAATAAGCTTATTTCAAAAATTCTTAACGGTCGTCTTTCCCCTATTCTCCCCTCCCTCATCTCTCCGAACCAGAGTGGCTTTGTCAAGGATCAGGTCATTAGTGATAACATACTTTTGGCCCAGGAGATGATCCACGATATCTCCCATGCGGATTGGAAGCGGGCACCGAACATTGCACTAAAGCTAGACATGGCTAAGGCGTATGATAGGGTGGAGTGGCCGTTTCTTAGTGATGCACTGGTTAAGATGGGATTTCCAGAATGGTGGATCAGTTTTGTTGAGACGTGTGTGGAGCACTGCACGTTCTCGGTCCTGGTTAATGGTAGCCCCACCGATTTTTTCTCTTCCTCTAGAGGCCTTAGA